GTTGTTTTGAGCTTAAGGTTTACATCTTGAGAGGTCAACTTGGAGAAGCTGTGGGTATCTCCAGACTCAGCATGTCCTAAACCAGATTCATCTTCTGTGGTCCCTGGCCAGCTACTCCAGATTTCTTTTTAGCTGTTAATAACAACCCCATTCTCCCAGCTACCATATTTAGTGCCCCCTTTGCCACACCTCTTCCTCATTTTCTACATTTCATTAGTTGTGTTTTCCTGTTTACCCTTGTAAAGTGTCTTTTCTTCCAAAAGTTTTTGGTGTATACATATGCACAGAGAGATATCTGGAAAGCAGTTCATCAGAATGTTTAACGAATTTTATCTCTGGATGATGGGACTCTATTTTGTTTGAATTTTGTTTTTCATAACAGATATTTATTATTTATATACTTGCACCCAACCTATAGTCTTACTTCTCAATCCTCCCTTGTCCTGAACGTCACCGATGGGACTCCTAGCTATTTCCTCAATACTTTCTTGTCTTTGCTCCTTTACTCAGTGCCTGGCTCATTTGTTCTTTGCATCTCCCATTGTCATTTTCCAGGGCTCCTTATAAGTCAGCTCTCCTAATGAAACCCTTCTTCCAACTGAATCTGCTTTCTCTTTTCATGAGCTCTCTGGTCCCTGTGTCACTTCCTGCACTCTGCCTTCTGGTCTTCTTACATGAGTTTTTGTGTTCGTGTCTTTATTAGATTGTAAGCCCCATGAGGGCAGAGATTGGGTCTTACTCATCCTTTCCCCCTTTTGGTTACAATCTCCCAATTTTTCTTTGGGGGACAACCCCTTTTCCCACTGTCTGTATGTGGTTTTGGTGAGATGGTCAATCAAAGTGTCCTGCCAATAGGATGCTCTTCCCCTGGAATTTGAATTTTGAGCCATGGGCTACAAGAACTGGCAGTGATTGGCGCTGATTCATCCTGGCCAAGGTGCTCTGAAGAAGCCACTCAATTAGTTCCTGCCTCCCAGATCCCTGGAGCTGCTCTGGTCCCTGGACTCTCCGAGGCCTGCTTCTTCAGATTTTCCTTCGTATCTGTGAGCTATCTCATATCCTTACAATAAATATCTCTCTCTCTTTTTTAAACTTTCTTAGCCAAAGATAATTTCTGTTGTTTTTCCCCAAAGATCCCTCCCAATAGAGCTGTTATGATTGGAACTGACCACCCTTAATCATTCCAGTTCTAATAATGATTCTGATCTGTTTTTTCTTCTTTTTAAAAACAAAACCCCCCAAACAGCCAGAGACTGCTGCTGCTTTGAAACGTACTCTAGAAGCCCTGATGGACAGAGGGGCAGTAGTGAGGAACCTGGAGAACCTGGGCGAACGGGCGCTTCCTTACAAGATGTCCTCGCATAGTCAGCAGCACACCCGAGGAGGGTAAGTGTCTTCATGAGTCACTTGACAGCTGCCTTTGATGGGCTCGGTGGGGAACACTGTGTATTTCAGCTCAGAAGTTACTGTACTCTTAACAGTCAGATCCCCATCCTACCAGGTGGTGTGCAGGTACGTACCCCAGCAGTGTTGTGTTGCAAATGGGATGCATTTGTGCTGACCCGTAATCATCTGTAATCAGGGTATAAAAACTGGTCATGCCAGCAGCAACACATTTATAAGCTTTTGATTGTGGGAAACGTTTCTTGTCAACTTAAGCACTGTTTTCTCCTGGCATTTCTTTCACTTTTGCCTTTAAACACCTCATTGAGCAATGTATTGTCCGCCTACTCAGTGCATCCTTTGTAAGAATGTAGGTTGAGATAATAAGCCGAATGTACTTCTTTTACAGCTGTATATAACCAGAGCCTAAAACCCACAATAGAAAATGTTTTTATCTGCTCCAACCAATTTTAATCAAAATTTCTGTAGTGAGATTTTTTTTCTCACATTTGTCAAAGGTTTGATTTTATAGTACCTTATAGATAATTATCCTTGTAGAAATTCTTTGAGGCCAGTTTGTCAAGTTGATTTGAAGCTTTGTAAGCTCTCATGGTAGCTTGCTTACCCCATCGTTTCTGGTTTGGAGAAAGAATCTTACATTGTTAGGCTTCCTTAGAAGTAGCTGACAGGGAAGATGGGAATCAGTTTTTAGCATAGTGGGAGAGGCCCGGACTCGGAGACTTGATTCTCCCTCTTGTGTTCCCAGCTGTGTGGCCTAGACCAAGTCACTTAGCTTCTCTGTTTCCCGCTTTCTTGGGTACTGAACTCAGATGACCTCCCATCCGCTTTGTCACAGAGATCAAATGAGATGATCTCTGAAGATGTGCTCTGTGGACAGCACTGAGTGTTGTGTGAGCTGCTTTTAGGCACACGGAGCGAGCACTCTTATGCAGTTTTGATACAAGTGATGCGCTCAAGTGAAGTCCCGCGTCACACTGGGCTTTCTTACTGCCTGTAAACCTTCTGCCGAGGTGTGGCACAGACTGCACTTTGCATCTTTTGATTGCTTCACCTTGTTTTGTGCTAGTGTTCAGCTTCTTGAGAGCACCTCTGCAGAGTGTGCCTGAAGTGTTGCTAGGCAACATGAAATGCACGGTGGCTTATTCCTGCTCCACAATCATAACAACAGTGAGCCATGCCGATTGTGTGTGTAACATTTTTTTTTTTAACATAACCACAAAGAGGTTTGGTTATAATAGCAAGGCTATGAATCCTTTTGCCTCTTTTTTTTTTTAAGAGGAGTATGTAAAATTTGGCCAAGAATTATTAGTCAGGTTCTGTGATGGAAGGCACTGAACAGGGAGAGAAGTCAGCTTTCAGGGAGGTCAGTAGGAGTGCTTTCTTCTGCCCTCTTTCCAAGTATAGGATTTGACCTTATTGGCGGCTGGTGTGACCAGCATCCTAGAACTTACCGCTTCTCACAGTGTGGGCAGTGCCGCTGCTCCTGCTGTCTGAGGCCCACACTTGGAGAACTGCTGTGTTAATTCATCTAGTTTTCAGGCCTCTGTGTGCATACGCTGGGGTGGAGTGGTGCTCTTTCTCTCTTACGGAGAGAATAAATTCAGATCCAGGAAGAGCCCACCTGGAATTAAGGCAGAACTGCTGACAACGCTGGCCCTACGTCCTGGATTCCTGACACGGTGCCTCTGCCCCACCAAAGACTGTGTTGTAGGCACTTAGTGCCTCTGTAGCTAAGGGTTTTATTTTTGTTGTGTTGTTGTTTTTACTTTCAGACTTCTCAGCAAAGGAGAAGCCACATTGTTAAAGTGCATTATGTTGTGTATATTGTGCATTGACACAGAAAGGCGATTCCCAGTCCCAGGCTGGGAGGTTCATGTTTTAAGCTTGCTTTTCTGGGAATAAATCAATATCTGGTATTTATTTGTTTGAGATAATGTTTTCCAAAGAGTGGTGATACTCCACCGAAAACTGGGATGTGCTTGTGATCAGTTAGATGTGGGAAGCCTTGCATGTTATACTCCTTTTAGAGATTCACCGCACGCTGTAGAGTGTAAACGGTGAGACGCCCTGCAGTAAGATGCCTTTGTTTGTCAGTGTCCTTTGACCATGTAACTTTTAATTTTGTAACACTCATTAATATTCCTCACAGTGGCTTTTGGTCAATGAGGCTAGGGTAGGGCTAGGGTAGTTGCAAGTTACCTCCGGGGGTTGGAGATTTAGAGTTGAGTGGTGTGTCGGATGTCTGCAGTGTGGAGCTTAAGTTTACTCTGATATTGGCTGCCACTAGTCCTCCCATAGTCACTAACCCCAGTGACATTTGTGCTAGGCCTTTTGTTCACATGGCTAGCTCTTTTTGTGCACTGATGTAGCCACAGAAGGCATTACAAACATGTATTAAGCAGATGTGCCCAGCGTGTGCCAGGTGCTGGGAAGGCTCACTTTTACGAAGTGGTTGAGAAGAAGCAGAGTGGACTTGTTTGTCATGTATTTATTAGCATTCGGAAGGTTTTGACTCTTTTGAGCAGCCCCGGAGGCCATGACAGGTGTCTGTAATTTTGGTGGGGCACTGACTTGGATCCTTAGGTTGGTGTGTGAGAGCCAACTTTTCAGCTGGCTAACTAGTGGGCCCAGGATGCCCTCTAAGAACCCACGTTGCGTTGTGGTGCTGTTGGTCATACATGTTAGTTGCTTTTACATTTTACAGGAAGAAATGGCATATCCCAGTGGGACTCCTAGGTCTCAGGATGGTTCTCGTGATTATTGTGGTTCCTGATCTCAAGAAGTTTCCACTTGAATCAGGGGCTTGCATGTGTATGACTAACCCAGGCACTGGGGCAGCAGCCAAGGGGGTGTACAGGCTGGAGCTCAGCACCCCCCAGGCTGACTACCTCACCTCCTCCCCCCAGATCCGTTCCCTGGCTACACACATGGCAAGTAGGCCTGAATGAAGGATGAGGGTAGAAAAATGCTTAGGTAGGAGAGATCCTGTTACTTTAGGGTTATTTGGGAGGTCTTCCAGAAAGAGGAGGGGGTACCTTGAAAGTGGTACCTGGTGTTTATTATATCAAGTCTGTTACTGGTTTATGCCCCCAAAATACAATCATTATAGTCCAGATATTAACTTGGTCAGCCCTGACTTTGGAAACAGGTTACATTCCAGGTTACATACGGGATTTGTAAGTTTGATGTTTATAACTGGGAACCTATTTTCCCATTAGAAGAACTTGATGGTTAAGTTCCTAGTCTGATCCACAGAAACTTGCTTGAGCTCAGAATCTCTGAGGGTCAGTAGAACTAGGGAAGTTATGTATGTACAGCTGGAGCACCTTTCTAAAACTTAGATTTAAAATGCTGCTCTGAGTTCCTTCTGGCAGCAGAGTAGAGCCTGGGTTGAGTCACCTTTATTTATCAGGAGTAGGGATAGTATCTCAGATACCTGTAACTTATTAAGAGTATTTTTCCAGGGGAAGTCAGTTCCCTTGTCAGTTGTCCCTCTGGTGATGTGCATTTAGGAACAGGGAGGAGCTGACCAGATGCCCCTGTTGCTGTCTGGGCCAGGTTGGGCTGGTTAAGAAGTTTGGATCCTCTAGACCAGTTTTCCAGGTGGAGGCTTCTGGCCTCACTCGCCACCCCTTTCACCAGGCAGCGCCTGGAAACCACTGGAGCATGATTTGGAGCTGAGGGGAGGGGAAGTGGAGTGTGTCTTAGAAGGCCTGGGATTCATTCTCAGCTCTGGATTTGCTCTAGTCTCTTGGGGGCCCCCAATTAGCTTTCCTTTGTATAGTCACATGCTCATCTTGGTACCTTGATTGACTCTGTGGGAAAGGCAAGGTTGGTGTCTTGGAAGATTCTTACTATATTCCTTGGAGTCTAAAAAGGGGACAGTGTCACATGTGCAGAAGGGAGCAGCAGGAGTAAGTGCTCATTTAGACCCTTGCTAAGAAGGGGCGGGCAGTTTACTGAATCATAGTAGCAGATTCTGCCAGAACTACGTCGGCGTCTTTGTCTTCCTCCAGGGCTGCACAGGCTGGTTTAAGGCTCTCTTTCCACTAGATGGGGCTGGACTGAGACTGAGAGTGATTTCTGGTGCAGGAGAGGGAACTATAAAAGAAACCGTGGTCCATATTTCAGTGTTGGGCTTGTGCTTGTTTGTAAGAGGATGCCCCAGATTGGCTTTGACTATTTTTACCACGCCTGATTTTACTGCAGTGAGACTGGGCTGACTTCAGAATGCGTGTGTATAAGAGCTCTTAAGACATGAGGGAGGTTTTTCTTGCCTGTTTTGTCCCTTCTTTCTCTTTTCTCATCTGCTTTAAAATGTGGATAGGTACTTATAGCAGAGATCTGCTGGCCTACATATAAGATGCCCTTCTATTTACGGGTAAGCAGAATGATAAAAATAACTGGCTCTGTGGCGAATCAGTGGAATTTTACTGACTCGCTCCCGGAGTGTGTCTGCAGCGCCCTCCGGGAGCGCTGGCATCCTCTCTAGAGGAGACTGATTCTCCTCTGTGGCTTTCCCGTTAGCTAACATTTCCATGTTCTTGTGCCTTCCTGCCAGTGCTAAGGCCAGGCCAGCGTCCTGACCCCATTCTTGTGTGTAGGTGCTTCGTGACAGGGTTTCAAGGCAAGGCTGCCATGGCCTTGCAGGTTTCTTTTTGGTGGCAGTGTCCCAAGATTTGTAAGGATTCTGCAGCAGGTTTAGTGGTTTTTAAAATGTATGAGACCCAACAGATATAAAAAGAAATGGGGCTTTTCCATGCAGAGGGTGTCTTCGTTTTAAGGGGAATAATTCACTGCCTCAGCGAAGCCTGAATCCAGCAAGATTTAACCGATACAGGCTAGGAACTGGCATTCAAACGGATCTGTTTCCTGTCTTCAAAAAGGCTTGAAGATGCTTCATGGCTGCAAATCCCTCTTCTCCCCCTCCCCCACCCTGCTCACTGGAGCCACTGAGCGCTTCAGTGGAAATTTCCACTCGT